TACCTGGCCAAACTTTTACGGAGTCGTACGTGTCACCCGCGGATACGGGGGAGCTGAATTTACATATGCAGGGTCACACGTGGGTGGGGGACGTTCCTCTAAATTTTCAGCCTCCTAGCTTTTGTGGTTCCTGAGTTGAAAGTTGCGGACAAGTTGCTGAGGACACATACACATACAGACAAACACACACCCAAACAACCCCGTGACAATATGAGTTTTGTACTCCTGTTACACAGCACAAAACGTAAAAAATGGCCTAGAATACAAGAAGCTTTGTCATCTCCTTACAAGGTGAGAGAATACTAAAACAGAACAAAATAACAAATGTAGTATAAAAAGAACATAAGAAATCCGAACGCCTCAAAGCAAGTCGGTTGACGCTGCAGGACAACAAATAGCGACAAATGGGAACCATCGAGAAACGTTTCCACAGTCTGCCCCACTAGCCAGTTCCAGAAACTGAAATTCCTGATTTACAGTTATGCGGTAAGCACAAAATCCAACACAGATGCGCTTCCGACTGTTCTTTTTCTTCTGGTTGCGTCAAGAGCGATTGGTGTACACTCATTTTTCAAGCACATTTTGCCGATGAGTCATTCTGTGGAAATTTTAGGAAAGTCTTTGAAGAGCTGGACGTCTTTCGATTGCTACAGGCCTAGAAGGGTACATTTCACCAACAGAGTGTGCTGTGTGTCGTAGTAGCACTTGTGTGGGAGTTAAAGAAGGAGAAGAAAAGTGCTGTGTGCTCATAGTTTTGAAATAAATCCCCGAAGAGTGAGCATATGAGCATTGCCCGGAAGGCGGACTCGTTCAGCGGCGGTCATGGATGACTTGCTTCTGGAAAAACAAGAATCATCCGTCCGGAGCTTATCTGAAAAGCGCATATTTTCCATATGAAGTATTTACTGCTCTATGAAATGCGCCGATTTTTTTTCGTACTTATATATCTTGCTCCGGCAAACAACAAACAGTAATAATAGCACTCGGCCACTTCCGAGTGTTTCCGGCTGTCATAGATAGCGAATATTGGGAGGGTTTTGACTTCTTGGATAG